GGACGGGGGCGGGGCGCGCGGGGCCACCTGCTCGGGGTGGGAGCTTGAATGAGTTCTCCGACTTGAACTCCCAAGCCGGGTCCGGCTCCAAACCTGCCTAGAGGAGGAGAGGCTAAAGAGCTCGTATGCGCAGCCGCAAAACGGCAGGGGAGGGGACAGTAGCGCTATTACCGATTGCCATGGTCGAGATGACAATTTGTGACCACTCTGTCACTGGGAAGGTGGAAGTGCAGACTTCTGTAAACTACTCCCCCAAGGAAAGGAGAGGAGGAAAGAACTGTCTGATTGGCCAGCAGTGAAGGTGAGAGATTGGGTTGTTTCTGGCATCGCCCGGGGTGTTATGGGTAGCGGCGCTGTGCGGGACGGTTGTCGGTAGCCTTCCTGCTGTCAGTACCTTTCCTGCATTACCAGGTCTCTACTTTTTGCCAAGCCTCAAACAGCTTTGCGGAGGAAAGGGCAGGTAGATGGGGTGAGGACTTGTAACGCTGCTGAGACTGGAACTGGCTTTCTTTACTGGTTGAATTATGTATAAATAACAGTAAAGACAACTAAGGACGGGGTCATCAGTACTTTAATCCATTCTTACCACTGTGTTCTCGTATCTGCTCTTAGGACCACCCAGCCTTCTGGGCCCTCCCCCCATGGCCAATGGAAAACCTGGTGACCCCAAGTCAGGTGAGAAGGAAAGGGACCCCGATCCTTGTCTTAGGTCCTTAGGTGGAGAGGAGTTGTACGGTCACGGGTTTGGAGACTCAATATTGTAAAAATGTGGCTTTTTCCCAAGCTGATCTGTAGACAGACAGAATCTCTGTGGTGTTTTTGTGGAAATCAATATTCTCCATTGTTGTGTGAAAAGGCCCTAGGTGAGAGAGTGCCGAGACAGTCTTAAAGTAGGAAAGCTTACTGTGGATACCAAGACTTGCAATAAAGCTACACTGATTGTGACAGTCCGGATTTTCACGCAACAGTAATAAGCATGAATGTAAATCAGTACAACAGTAAGAAACCCACAGATGTGTTGGCACTTAGTTTATGTGAAAATAGAAGTGGAGAAGTGGTCATTCCATAAGATACTGCTGGATTGATTGGACATTCATGTGAAAATGAAATTAGACCTTTTAACACATGGAATATAAACATCAATTTAACAGACTACATAATAAAAAATTTTTTTAGATAAATGACTATAAACCTAAATGTAAAAATTATTTTTCTAGAAAGTAAATGTAGTTGCATGGCTTTAGTACTCTAAAGGTTCTTGAGCAAATGTACATATGCCGTAAAGAAAAGATTAACAGGGTGGGGATATAGCTCAGTGGCATAAGCACCTGCTTGGCAAGCACAAAGTCCTGAGTTCAATCCCCAGTACTGCAAAAAAAAAAAAAAATTTAAAAATTAACATACTTTACCATTTGATACTAATTTCTGTCAATCATGTGATACCATTAAGAAGTTAACAGAGCCAGGCATGGTAGTGCACTATCCGGAGGCTGAGGCAGGAGGGTTGATGTTTGAGGCCAGCCTGAACTGCATGGCAAAACACTGTCAAAAAAAACAAAAATTGGCAAAAGACCAGAACAGCCAGGTGTGGTGGCACACGCCTGTAATCCCAGCACTCGGGAGGCTGAGGCAGGAGGATCATTGCAAGTTCGAGACCAGCCTGGGCTACAAAGTGAGCTCAAGGCCAGCCTGAACTGCATAGCGAGACTCTGTCTCAAAGAGACCAAAAAAAACCAAACTACTTATTTAAGAAACATCTAAGCTGACTGAAAACATGAAATGTACTCAACATTAATCATCAACTGGTGCAAGATATATACACTACTAAAACAAAATCACACACTACTTTAAAATTGGAACTCCCACGCCTTGTTGATGGGATTATTACATGGGATAATCACTATGATAAACAGTCCGGATTTCTCAAAAGTTAAAAAGAGCTAGGCGTGGTGGCACACCCCTGTAACCCCAGCAACTGGGAGGCTGAGGCAGGAGGATTAGCATGAGTTCGAGTCCAGCCTGCACTACACAGCAGTACCCTGTCTTTAAAAACCAAAAGTAAAAATTAAAACTGGACTACCATTTGATCCAGTCATCTCACTTCCAGGTATATACTCAAAAGAATTAAAAGCATGATTTTGAGGAGATGTTTTGGTAGAGTACTGGGGATAGAAGCCAGGGCCTTCACACTGAGCTACATCCCCAGGCCTTTTTTTTTTTATTTTGAGACAAGGTCTTACAAGTAAGGCTCCATCTCTTCACCTGGGTGGTGGGAACATAGGTGTGCTTACCTAACGGAGCTGTTTACCTAAAATGGGTACTGTACATCTTCGTGTGCTGTATTATAATTTAAAACGGGGAGCCAGGTGTGCATGCCTGTGACGCCAGCAGTCTTGAGAGATTGAGACAGGAGGAGCCCAAGTTCAAGCCCAGCCTGAGCAGCTTAGCAAGACCCTATCAAAAAATAAAAAGGGGGGCTGGGGATTTAGCTCAGCGGCAAAGCGCCTGCCTGGCAAGCGCAAGGTCGTGAGTTCGGTTCCCGGTACCGGAGAAAAAACAAACAAACAAAATAATAAAAAATAAAAAGGGCCAGTGATCAAGGCTTGTGTCAGGATGAAGCTGCCTGTCATCACCTTTCTGTCTTTCTCTAGTTCTTCACAGAGGTCTTCCAGGATCCAGGGGACCGATGATCCCACCGCTGCTGAGCCTACCCCCTCCTCCCAGGGGAAGAGGCCCATTTCGGGGAGGCCTTGGCCCCAGGACAAGTCCATATGGTCGTGGTTGGTGGGGGGTGAACGCTGAACCTCCCTTCCCGGGGCCAGGCCTCGGGGGTCCCCCTAGGGAGCGCTTTCACAAAGAGCAGAGAAACCCGAGAAGGCTCAAAAGCTGGTCTCTGGTCAAGAACACCTGCCCACCTAAGGATGGCCCCCAGGTTGTGGAAGGTGAGGTGCACGTCGTTCCCCATAGTCTTCGTGCCGTTCCTCCCGGGTGGCCTGACGCGCTGGGTGCCCAGGACTCCTTGCCTTTGCACTGGCCTGGCTCTCCAAGCCCATGCTGGGGTTGGCATACCCTTGTGCTATACCCTACGACCCATGGCTGGCTTTTAGGGCCCTGAATTCCATCCGTATTGCCACCCCTCCTCCCCCAAAAGAGAAGCTGGGAATGGGGGCGGGCAGATCTTTGTCTCTACTCTTCATTACTGTGTCTTACTCAGATTTTAAACTGCACTGTTTTCACTCATCCGCAGACAAATCCAACCGCCCTGTGTGTCGACACTTTTCCAAAAAGGGTCACTGTCGATACGAGGATCTCTGTGCCTTCTACCACCCAGGCGACAACGGGCCGCCCCTGTGAGACTGTGCCTTCCCTTCTGGGCAGGTCGGGCCTCCCTGTGGCCCTGTGCTGGCAATGGTGAGGCTCTTCTCCCCTACTCGCCGCCCGCAGCCGGGGTCCGGAGCTGTGCTTGGTCCCTGGTGCACAGTGTGTACCTCTTCTGGCTGAGCCTCCCAGGACTCGCCTTGGGGACCCCCATGTGTCCCCTTCGACTGCCCCCCGGCTCCTCCCCTCCACCAGATGACTGCTGACAGGAAACCTCTGGTGCTGTTTCTTGCACATCTGTCCACGATCGCCCTCCATTCCCAAGAGCCTGGAGCGGTTTCCTCCGTCCAGCCGTTTGTCTGGAGACCTCTTCCTGAGACACCAGGGTTTCCAGCGCTGGGGGAGCTCCTGGTCTGTCTGCCCCTGGTCTGTCTGCCCCGGGGTCTGCGTGCTGGCTGGTACAGGGCCGCCCCTGCTTCTGAAGTAGTTTCTCCACCGGTAGCATGATCCCCACCGCTATGGTCTGTGATCACTGTGCTTTGTGAAACTGTGCGTCCCCTCGTACCCTCTCGGTGTTCGTGACTTCCCAACACTAGAGTAAGTTTTCTGCCAAAGTGGGGGAGGCTCCCCGTGCCTCTAGACCGACCGCCTCTGCCCGCCTCCCCTGTCCCCACCCTCCTGGCGTCGCTTTTCCCAGGTCTGAGACAGGCCCGTGATCTCCTAGAGGCAGGCCCTGGCCAGGCCTCCCCGTCCGCACCTGTCCAGCTGCTGCGGTCAGTCGGTCAGCGTGAGGCTACCCGATGTTGATGTGAATCTGTGACCCCGCCGGGCCTGTCTCCCGGGGGACACTGGACGGTGTTGTCGCCCTCTGCAGACCCTCCTTCCTCACCCCTGGGCTGGGTGTTTTCTGTGAAAACGGCAGGGAATGGGTTCGGTTCCAAGCTGGCCCTGACGAAGTGGGTCAGGAGTTGTGTGGGCCAGAGGGGGGAAGGAGAGCCATTGGAGAACTGAGAATGAGTTTTTTTCTTTTTAACATTTTTTTACATTAGTAATAAACACAGTGGAAACCAGTGTTTTCTTTAAGCACGTTCCAGCTCATCGTGTCTCTGCCTGGTTCAGCTGGTCCTCATGGGAAGCCTGTGCAGTCATTGGTAGCATCTTACTCACCTGTGTTGTTCTGAGCAGCCTTTTAGCAAAAATAGGAAAGCTCCAGCCCGGGGATTTAGCTCGGCAGCATAGCACCTGCTTGGCAAATGTGAGGTGATGAGTTCAATTCCCGGTACCCTCCCCGCCAAAAAAATATGTAAAGTTCCAACAGGCCAGCCCACCACACCCAGGATAGTAGCTAAAATAGGTGCATTTCAACCTGCTGGGGAAGACAGCTTCTCAGATAGGCACAAATAGCTGTAAAGTTACACCTTTTAGAAGTGCTATAGCAGGGCGTGGTGGCACACATCTGTGACCCCAGCCCTCACCACACTGAGGCTGAGGCAGGAGGGTTGCTGTGCATTTCAAGGTCAGCCAGGACTGCATAGCGAGACCCTCTGTCAAATACAAGAAGTGCTGTCAAAAAGTATAGTGGAAGGCAAGAACAGGATGGAAGTTAGAGGTGTGGTGGCACAGGCCACAGTCCCAGCACCCTGGGAGGCTGAGGCAGGAGGATCACAAGTTCAAGCCCAGGCAGTTTAGTGACTCCCCAAGATCCTGTGTCAAAGTAATTTTTTAAAAATAGCTCTAGATAAACTAGAAAATGTGTCTTCTATAATTTTTAAAAACATTAACCATGTATTCTGCTCACACCTTTATGAAAAGTAGGTAGATACGTGTGTGTATGTATGTGTGGCTTTTTTTATTTTGGAGACATGGTATGGCTATGCATGGTATGGCTCTGCAGCTAGCATTCAGGGCCTTGCAGAACAAGGATTTGGGTCTTGAAACAAGTCTGGGTTGAGGCAGGTGAGGGTCGTGGGTTTGCGTGCGTTTTCAAAGCCGGAGGAAGCCACCAGGTTGCTTTGGGGCACCTTGTAAGGCATTCAAGCAGAGGTGAGGTGTGATCAACAAATACGAAGGCTGTTCATGGTTACACGTGCGTTGCAGTAAGGGACACGGCCACTCTCCCTCTCACAGTCCCCTCGCTCTGGCACACCCACCCTCTGCCTCAGTTTACACTTAGGGTGGTTCCTGTCAAAAGCGAGACTGTGTGTCTTCGCCTCCCTCCTTGAGCAGACCTGGCACTGCACGATTTCTGGCTCTCCCTCTACGTCAAACGATGCTCAGAGGTGACAGCACAACTGAAGTATCCACAGGACTTCCAGACTGCTTCAGAGAGTGATAGGAGTGTGGGCTGCCTGTTGCAGGCAAGGCCCAGGACTCTGAGAGACTTAGTTGCAATGTGTCTTTTACTATAGATTTTTAAACATTGCTGGCCGTGGTGGCGCACCCCTGTAATCCCAGCACTCAGGAGGCGGAGGCAGGAGGGTCATTGCTAGTTTGAGACCAGCCTGGGCTGCAAAGTGAGCTCAAGGCCAGCCTGAACTGCATAGTGAGACCCTGTCTCAAAAAAAAAAACAAAAAACCATTAACCATATATTTTGCTCACACCTTTACAAAAAGTAGATACATGTGTGTATGCACGTGTGGCTTTTTTTGTTTTTGAGACATGGGTATGTAGTTCAGGCTGGCTGTGAACTCTGTAGGTTTGCCTCAAACTCAAAGTGATCCTCCTGTCTCAGCCTCCCAAATGCTGAGATTATAAACCTGTGCCACCAGGCCTGGTTTAGATGTGCAGGTTTTGATACTCAGATTGAAAGGAGGAGCCAGTTGTGGTAGTGCACACCTATAATCCCAGCCCTCCAGAGGCTCAGGCAGGAGGGTCACTGCAAGTTCAGGGCCAGCCTGGGCCACAAAGTGAGTTCAGGGCCAGGAATATAGCTCATTGGTGCAAGCACAAGATCCTGAGTTCAATTCCTGGTGCCAAAAAAAGGCAAGACTTCAAATCTAATGTGTGGATCATTATCTTAAAGTACAAGAAACATTTTAATATTTTCTTAACTGATTTAAAATTGCAAAGTATGGGGCTGGGGATATAGCTCAGTGGCATAAGTGCCTGCCTGGCAAGCACAAGGTTGTGAGTTCGATCCCCAGTACCGCTAAGTAAATAAATATAAAATAAAATAAAATTACATAGTCCCAGGAAAAAAATAATAAATTACATAAAACAATTACAAAATCATAGCACTGGGCTTGTAACATCAAAAGTTAATTGTCGGGCTGGGGCTTTAGCTCGGCACAGCACCTGCCTGGCAAGTGCAAAGTCGTGAGTTTGATTCCTGGGGGAGGAAAAAAACTCCCTGGTACAGGGGGAGTTAATTGTATATATACACTCACATACAAACAATAATAGTATAAAAGTGGGCGTGTTGGCACACATGCCTATAATCCCAGCACTCAAGAGGCTGAGGCAGGAAGATTGCTGTGAGTTCAAGGCCAGCGTGTAATGCACAGTGAAACCCTGTCTCAAAAAAAAAAGGGGGAGGCAGTGATATAGCTCAGTGGCACAGCCCCTGCCTGGCTAGTGCAAGGTCATGAGTTTGATTCCTGGTAGCAAAAAAAAAAAAAAGTAAATCCAATCCACAAGAAGAAATGAATGAGTACCAGAAATAGTTTTTTAGTACTATTTAATGTAAAACTTCATTAAATATAGCTTATTTCCTCTTAACGCCTTTAAAAATATTACATAATGCAATAATTATCACTATTATTGGTATTTCTTTTTTTTTTTTTTTTTTTTGTCTTTTTGAGACAGGGTCTCACTATGCAGTTCAGGCTGGCCTTGAGTTCACTTTGTAGCCTAGGCTGGTCTCAAACTCACAATGATCCTCCTGCCTCAGCCTCCCAAGTGCAGGGATTACAGGCATGTGCCACCACACCCGGCTCACTATTACTGGGATTATAACATGTATGTGTGAATTTTAACCACTCCTGTTCAACATAGTCTTCAAAACATTAGCCATAGAGCTGGGCGTGGTGGCACACACCTGTAATCCCAGCACTTAACAGAGGCTGAGGCAGGAGGATCCCTGGGAGTTCAAGGCCAGTCTGGGCTACAAAGTGAGTTCAAGACCAGTCTGAACCGCATAGAGAGACCCTGTCTCAAAAAGAACCCCCCCCAAAAAAAAAAAAATTAGAGCAGTCAGGCAGAAGAAATCAATAAAAGGGATATGTACAGGAAAGGAGGAAGCCAAAACATTATTTGTAAATAACATTATCTTTTACATAGAAGACCCAAAACATTCCACTAAAAGACTCTTAGAATTAGTAACCAAATTCAGCAATGTACCAGGACACAAAATAATCCCAACATTCTGGAAGGCTGAGACAAGACGATTGAAAGTTCAAGCCCAGCCAGGGCAATTTAGCAAGATCCTGTCTCAAAATTTAAAAAGCAAAGCGCAGGAGTGCTGGGCCAGGGCTACAGCTCGGTGTGAAGACCCTGGGCTCAATCCCCAGTACCACAAAAAGGAAAACGAAAAAAAAAGGGGGGGGGGGGCGCCATGACAACTAACAACAAGAAAACCTTATGAACAACTGAACAAAATCGGACACGAAATAGAGGATTTACACTCGACCTCAGCAATGCAAAGAGGTCTAAGCGAATGCTACAGACAGCTGCGCCAACAAAGCGGGGAACTTATTTGAGGGGAACCAATCTGGTAGAGTGGGGACCCTGAAGGCAGGTGTGTCCCCAAAGCGCCTGCGCCGCACACGGGGCGCTCTGCAGCGAGGGGGTGGGGGCTGCACGCAGGGACGTCTCCACCAGGAGACCGGGGAGACGCAGCTCCGCGAGCGGGAAGCCAGCCCCTTGCGGGCGGAGCGCCGGGAGGCCCCGCGGGGCCGGCCGACCCGCGGTCCGGTCGTAATCCCCGGTGCCTCTCCATGCGTGCGGGAGAAAGCCCCGAAGCAGAGCACAGAAACGAAACCTTGCTTTGCCGGCCGCTCCAACCCTGCGTCCGCAGTGAGCGGCGGCGCTTACGGTGTGCACGCCTCCTCCCCTTGACGCTGTCCCCGCCCGCCAAGCTGCGGTCCCTGTGACTGTTCCCCGGGCCGCTGTGCACTGCAGCCCTCGCAGCTCGGGTGGAGACCTCGGGGGCCCGAGAGGCCGGTGCAGGCTCCTACCCCACTCAAGGCCCGGGCCGCTGGCCTGGGACTGCTCATCCCCGCTGCGAGCCTGGCGGCGCTGTGGCTCAGGGCCAGAGCGTGGGCTTCAGGGAGCCTAATCCGGGCGCGATAAGATTTGCATCCAAGGCCCTGCCGCAAACGCCGCAGCCCTAACCACACGCATGCTTGTAGCTCCTGTGCTCTCCGACAGCTGGGGCGATGCTGTCCCTGGGATCCTCCTCATGAGTTCCTGAGCTTGCCTTTTCTTTTTCTTTTATTTTTTTTTTTTTTTTTTTTTTTTTTTTTTTTTTGAGACAGGGTCTCCCTATGCAGTTCAAGCTGGCCTTGAGCTCACTTTGTAACCCAGGCTGGGCTTGAACTTGCAAGAATCCTCCTGCTTCAGTCTCCCGAGTGCTGGGGTTACAGGCGTGTGCCATCATGCCCGGCTTCGAGCTTGCCTTTGAACATCCCAGCCCCGCTGTGGGGTGGGGAAATGCTGCCGGAGACACCCACAGGAAGGTCCTGGGGCTTTCCAGTACCTCAGGGAGGAGAGGCCAGGGACAGAGCCCCCGCCCGGTGCCAGATGCCTGAGACCCGCCACCTTCAAGGGTTCCAAAGTACCCTCCTTACTTTATCAACTGTATGTTTATTTAGTATTTATAAAATATTTAGAAGTGGGGCGGTGCATCCGTGCAATCCCAGCACTCAGGGAGGCTGAGGCAGGAGGATGTTCTATGATACTAATGCATTCTGTACTTTATGAAATATGTTAAAAATAGAAAATCAAAAGGATGGGATAATAATAAGGTAATTTAAGTAGTGGTTTTCATGAGAAATAGAACATTTACCCTTGGAAAATTACTAATGACAATATTTTCAAGTAAAAGCAGTGGGACTGTGCTTAGTTATTTTTGAAAATTATGCAT